TGCAGTGTGTCGCGACACGTTGAGATAGCACCCGTACGCAACCGCGTTTGTGACTGATTGAGTGGTCACTGTTCAGTACTTGCAACATGGTTGTCAATTTCTTGAACACCTTTGATTTAGGCCAACACAATGTTTGCGGCAAACGAAGACTTCCAGAAACGCCATTTTCTTGTTCTCTTGTTCCAGCGATTGCATCTCCCCCTTCTGAACTGCTTCCTAAAACTCACCTGTTTAGTTCTATCAGCAAGCGTTTCAGCCCGTTCAGTCAGGCTAATAGGCGAAGTTCATAAAGAAACGTAAGCCTTCACATGAGGCAGTGGTCGATACTAAGTTACAGCTTCACACATTCTTGGAATAGCAAAGATGAGGATAAGGAGTAAGAAACAACTGCCGACCTTAATGTTAAAATACAAAACAACAAACGAGTTGGGTCAATGTTCGGCTAGGAAAAAGGCAAGCTCGTTTTTGGAGGGTTCCCCCTTTGGTTGACGAGCAGTAGCATTCGAGAAAGACTGTGAGCGAAAGTACCAAGATTGGGGTTTGGCGTCTCAGAAATGGCATGGGTCTAACGGTATTTAACTTATTTATTTTATTTTTATGGAGAAATACACAGAACACCGCAAAAGGACAACCGCAACCGCTAGACTACGTGCTTGCAATCGTCATGAGCTGTTGGAGACAAGAGTGGGATAACCAACCGACCGACCATTAGCTGATCCTCTCAAAATGAGGCCGCAGATCCAAACGCCGGGGAGCTTACAGCGTGTCCAGCAGACAGATTCATCTAGGAGAATCGAATAAGGCCTAACTGCCGGCTGTCCGACCCGTCCACAAACTGTGGATAGCAGCAGAACGACCTTTTTCAGCAAAGGCTAACGGAGAAAGCAGTCACCGCTTGTGTCCGGCAAATAAACATTGCCGCATCGGTAGACGCAGTTCGTACCCAGACCAATGAGAAGTTTTGCAAGCCAAAGCGACCTTGTGATAACAACTGTCACTTTCCATCCAATAAGGTTGACCCTACCATGCTTGCTTAACGTGTCAGGGCCTTCGCATCAAGCAGGAGCGGAGCTGGTGCCTTACCCGTACCGTATCGTCTCACTGTGCACAATAATCCTGAGTATAAGTCCCCACCCCCCGAGGCCCTAAATAGAAAGAGCATCTTAGGTATGGCAGGCGCTACTATGGATCAAGGACATGTCAGAGGCCACTGAGGGCAGTGCTGCGGAGCTCATGAAGAGCAGGGACTGATAAGATTCCAATGAGCAGTCGGGGGTCGTGTGTCGCGTGTGGTGCCTAGACTGTCCCTGTAAATACACAGGTCGGACTAAACATAAGCCGGCTGTGCGAGGGTTATTTAGAAGTGGCTACGAAACGGGTCACCAGCTTAACTTCGCAGCCACAAAGATAATTACTCGCACAGGAAGCAAGACAAAAGATGATGGAAACTTGGTTAATCGATATATTGAACTATCGCCGGCATACAGACCCATGTACAACCACCACCGGACCGGGGCTATGGATGCTTGATTGGCTACTACCCCTATAATTATTGCTTCTTCCATTGCCATTTTCATATATGACGATGAACTCTTGTACGAGTTCGAAAGCTCAGATGTGAGTAAACGCGGGCTTCCGATGGGGTCTCGTAACGCGGATGATTAGGGCGCCCGCCGTACTGAGGCCTTCCCCTTACTCGATAGCCTACTTGATTTTGCGGCATCCGTGAGAAGTACTAGTTAGAGCCTGGTTAAAAGTTGATGGCAAACGGTTGAAGGTAAGGAGGGGGTGTTACGGGACTTACTCATCCAAAAAACAGAGCTTAGGGCAAAGGTCGTGAGTTGTTTTTCATTACAGCAAGTTAACTTAAACAAAGCGTCAGATGCAGTTCTTTACCACTAAGCATTAAGGCTACGAGAGCGTCCAGAGAAGATAGCGTTTGACCTTGGGTTCGTCCAAGGTCTAACATCTGCATTTTGATGAAACCTAATCCCCGCTCAACGAGATATCGAAATTCGGCCCCACATTGTATGAGACAGGATGTGTCTGCATTAATCCCGGTTGGCGAATGGCCTTGCGCGGTCTATTGTTTCGGTTACCTTGAATCGTGTAGGTCGGTTTCAGGAGAATGTTATGAGGAGCTAAAGATCCCTGGCGTCCGATATGTCTGTGGTCCGATATAATCCGCGTGAAAAAACACGAGTTTGTGGGGTACATATTAAGCTTATTAATTGCGACTTGAAAGCAGGGTGTGACATTCATTACGTTAATGTCATATTCGGATTTAACTTGCTACCAACTGTGTGTTGGGACTTGGTCTACTTGGCCGAAGCATGTGTCCTTAAGCCCGCTTGGTCACCAACTGATGGCCTAGCCACCTTTGTTTCCTCCTGCCCACGTGCCTTTTCGCATGTTCTGACCCCTTGACCTCGTTGACTGCCTTCTCATTCGCTGACACACTGCGAGCTTTATTCCCGGTGTGCTTATTCACCACTCCTCACGCTTTTAGTTCCTTGCATCGTGCTCTTATTCGCCCCCTGGTTCGTGGACTCCTGCCCCATGTACTTATTCCTTTATAAACTGGCAGCAACACGTCTGCGTCATTCCCGAATGCTCGTCTAAGCACCTTAAATGTATGTCCACCCTCCTTTTGATTTCTATTTCGCATTTTTTTATCTATCGTGCACTTTTAACCTTACTGTTTATTTCTATAGAAACACATAAACAATGACGGAGTTATCTGACTGTCCTTTGACATAACTTCTGACCTCGGGTGCGTACATTCAGGTGACGAAAACCAGCATTGCAAAAAGAAAAGGCCAACATTTCTCACAGTTATCCGAGTTGCAAAACGTAAAAACACGAGAAGCTATTCAGCTAGTTCGAACACAGGGTTTCGCTTCTTTTTTAAAGCCTATTTTACCTTGAAGATTTACCTTACCGGAGGGCAAATTGCGAAAGAACAACGGTGGTGCCGTTTTTCAGGGTACGCAGTTTAGCCTACGAAACAGCATTCCCAAATGAAGGCAGACGATCAGGCGTACGTTTGCCAGTGGATTGGCCAACATTATAACAACCACCGAGGAGCACTTTTTGTCTCCTTTCACGACCGATTGCGAACTGCATTTGTACTTCAGCTTCATATGACAGCTTATGCCCCATTAAATCGACCCGTAATATTTCTACAGCGATCTTCAGGCATCACGACTTACGACAGACTTGGTTAACTCGATCTATCCTACGCTGACGGCCAAAGAAAAAAAACCCCAGAAGACCTTGCCAATACGGTGTTTGGCTCTCGAATGAGGCGTCAGTTCTGTATTTAGGACAGTGGAGTTGAACAATCGGGATTAGTTTGAACGTTGCTAGAGTACAGAATTAATGATTGGATCACTCTCAGGCAAGGACGACCGAAAATCGAAACAATCAGGCACAGGAGGCCTTCATCTAAATATGCTAAAATTTCCGAGATTTGAGTGGGATAAGTGCGAATATCAAGTTTTGAGTAAACGAGACTCTCCTCGAGACAATTTACCTATAGAAGCATGGACCACAGCCTGTGCACGCCAAAAAGTGTCCGTGATCCATTTTTTCCGAACTCGTGTCCACAATCGGGTCTTTAAATAACGATAACATAGGTGCTCAGAACTAGAATCCGGTAAATGCGCCTCCCTTAACAGTTACCTTAGATAGCCCGGTCGTATGATGCAGCAACTACAACGCGAAACCATTCAGCTCCTTAACTCGATCAGATCCAAACTGCAGCTGGTGACGGTATTCGAGGCTGGTGCGTAAATTGACTCAACATTTCTACATCGATAAACTGCAGCAGAATACAATCGCTCTTGTCGCGGCAAATCTACGGTACTGCCAGAGTAGAACTAATTGAGATCTTCAAGTGGACCAGACCGCCTGTTTAATAGCAGTGCAGGACAAGTGAGGACCGTAGTTTGCGGAATACCCTACGAATAGAAGGAAAAGTTAAGAGCACCCTGAGTAACACTGAGGCATTATAATTCGGTCGAGCAACATCCCTCGCAAAAGTGCTAATGCAGCAACGAAGAAATGATCAATATGTTTTGATATTTTGGCTGCTTGTCACCAGTACCAGTACGCAGTAAATACCTAACTGTCAAAAATAATTAATTATGGTAAACACTGTCATGTTGGGATATTTATAGACAGTGAATCACCGCGAGGACTTCTGGAAGATGCATTGCAGATTTTGAAAAAAAGGTGTGCTGCATACAGGAACAGGGTTTGCATCGAAGAGCTTAAAAATTTACAGATTTCAGCATTTACAAAGAGAATTATCGTAGATGGTAAAATTTTGTTGACTCTGTAATCATCCAATATACAAATATTGGATGATTACAGAGTCAACAACACCCAAAAGAAAATTGACATCAGAATAAAATACAACATCCCTAAATAATGCCCCGAAAGTCAGCTGGAATCTTAAATCTCTCTTAAAGCGGAGTTTTTCGATTGGATGAGCAACAGCGAGAGCTTAAGGATTACTGACTACCCCTGGAACTCTTCAAATAAATACAATTAACAAGCCATCGTGTGTAGCCTTTACAGGCAAATAATAACTCCAGTCACAATTTAAAAATAAAGAATACTATTAGTCCCGATCTTGGTTGTCAAAGATTACGCAGTACGACTTGATCTGGATACTGACTGAGCTAACTTTTTACTTGAAAAGAATCTTTGGCAACAACGGCTAGGGAATACTGATAACTCACTTCGATAAAACAGACGGGTGGAACGTATTAAACATGTTTGATATAAAAGTGTCATGATTTAAAATCATACAACAAAAGCTGATGAAGTACACTTACGTAAGGGCTACGCAGTAGAAGGCTCCCAGCCAAGCAGCGGAAGTGATGCCATGAACTACTATCAGAACTTTGCCATAAACCTTGTAGGCCTGCTTAAACCGCTGCATTAGTGTTGGCTTCTCAGTTGATGGGGTTTCTTCGTTTTTTTGCTCTTGTGGAGCAGCTGGTTTTCCTTCTGACGAAGAGTCCGCGATAAAGCGCCGGGTAAGAAAGGATGGCTGGTAGAAGCTGTGGTACGCATTTAAACTGCGGTTTCGTGGTGCTTCGGCCAGGAAAAATGATGAAGTTAGCGCGCGCGCGTTTAATATCACACGGCTGGAGGTGCTCCTGAGAGTTATGAAACTCCGAAGTGTCGACTTCGCAATAACAGACATAATCATCAGGATAAGAAAAGCTGATGCAAAAGGATAAGGACTGATTCTTTCTGATGCTTCTTTCCCTAAAAATCAAGAAAGTGGTTAACATTAGTTCGTGAATTGCCCGTATATCGGATAAGAAACCGGTAAATTTAAGCAAATATACCTGCAAAAATAGCATGTCTAAGTGTTCGTATATTACACAGGGAAGTTTGATCAGTCAAGTTCAAGAAGGCGGAATGCCTAAAAGCAGTTAGGTCAATGAAAATCGACTTAGACTACAAAAGGTCAAAACTCGGTGCGATTTCCAGTCGAAATGTGGTTCCTTTCAGAAAATGCACAAACGCTCTTGGATTGCAAATAGCCAACTCCCGACAGGTGTGTCACAACAGCACATGATTTACAGAAGTGCATCAAGCAGAGGTGGTTTTGTATTAAGAACGAAAGCCCTATTTGACCCTTGTTATAAGCCGTTCGTCGATAAGTTACCTTAAAGTGAGATTTCCCTCTGATTGTTACACTCGTCACCTTTTCTCCGTATCGGGATGGTGACGATAGTGATCACGATATATATTGACAAAATTATTCTTACAACAACTGTTGAGATCAATGTTTACATATCAGTAGAAGAGAAGAAACTTCAATTACAACCCGCAAACGCAAACGGTCCGACAATTTACAGATGAATTTAATTTTCCACTGAGATCGGCAGAATAAAACACGCGTCCTATTAATGAAAATTACTTTGGGGAAAATCTGTAGCTGCGACCCGTGGCCAAATTGTTTGTTCATATTAACTATACAACCCGTGGGGCAATCAGAAAATTAGAAGTATTGACGTGACATGACTTCAAACGCCAGAAACCCAGAAGTTGGGAATAATAACTTGTCTGACTAATAAGGTAAACCATCACAGACAAAGTCTGCGCTTATCCAGAGGCTAGACCCAATATTACTAATGGTTAAGTAAAGGTTACGAAGGCAAACGTGGCAGGCAAGACAAAATAGCATTAAGTACATTAACGCAGAAGAAACTAAGGGGGAGGAAGCAGCAATAAGAGCGAAATCTCCCGACTCTCCCCCGCAGACGCATAAACCATCATATGATTTATAGAAGCAAGAGGTACAGAATATGGTTAGAAGCTGAATAAGTAGAAGCTAAAAGTTAAAAATTACTTCTGATAAATATGTTCGATATAATTTTTGTGCACATGTACAGTATGAACGTGTACTGGTATGAACAGACCATATATAAAGTCTGCATAACAAGATAGCCAGAAGGTTGAAATTATCCGTAGGAGAACATCCAGAAGTTTCCATGCAGAACCCTTGCTGCGATTAAGTCAAGACAGTTTACTATCATATCCGATGCCAAAGGAGGGTCTTTAGCGTGAACGCTATAGCATTCACCACCTGGTGACCTACACGCGGTAGCTCATCAAACCAGCGAATGTATACGTTCCTTATAAGTACTGTTAGCATCATTCGACATTAAAAAGGGAGCACTAACTATCATTTTTTTTCCCTGTCCGCAAATGACTCACAACACCAACACCACACCCAATTAGCAATCACAATCGAAAAATCGCAAAAATAATCAGAAAACTTAAACTGACCAGTTAATGTGGATTATGTAGATAATTGAAAACATTCTAGCCATCAGATTTTCGAATAGCGTTTTGTTATCCTGCAATAGTATTGATTTAAGGGCACTTGCAAAAGCATTCAATTTCTGGGCAGCCAAATAATTAAGTACACTGGATTCGGCGGAGCGATAAGTGACAGTGGCCAATAACTACATTAATGAAGCTCCTTAGTGACGAGTATCACTGATATTGTGCTGTAAGCTTTTCTCCAGAAACCGAGGTTCTTTTGGGCCTCAAAATCTTATAAATCTGTACTGACCATAGTGTAGGTCCTAGTGTTGTCGAAACTGGCTGGATTGCCACTGTGCATTACGACATTTCACCGAAGCCGAGCCACGAAAGCCAACCATTTGACCTCTCCAACAACCGATTTAGTTTGAACTGTAGCCTAAGTTCTTGGACAGGGCTTCGGATTATAAGTCGAATTTTCGTGCCGACAGTTAATATTGCTGCTGCGCTGTCCGCACATACTACGCTATCATTTACATATATTTGGAGCAAAATAGGTCTCAATACTCAACCCCAAGAAGACCAAAACTTAGCAGCCGCACAGAATGAACTTACCACTATTCCTTACTCTTTGTGTATCATTAAACTGTCGCTTCTGAGGCACAACGTTTCAGGGCATCTGACAGTTGCTAGTAACGGCCGAAAATACGCGCTGATCTTCAAGAGCTCAGGTCAAGCTCTGGCGGATTGTATGGACTTAGTGGGAAATGTCTGTTAGAAACCAACAACCTGAATATTTATCCGTATTTAAAACACAGCGAAATCTGTATCGAAAACTTCTGCGGGAAGAACAATCAGCCTTTGATATGTACTTGTCCAAGGAGTACCAAACATTTCAAACGAGGCGTGAACAAGGCAAAACGCAACCAGGACTCTTTTCTTTGGCTGAAACCCTACAAGGGGAATAAACCAACCAATAGCTTGGCTGAAACGAAACTCTCTTCTATCTTCTTCGTGAAGTAATACAGCCACACCAACAAATGCAACCAACATTATGTCGCTTATAATAAACAGAACGGGAAAAACTCCCAGGCAGCAACAGCCCACTAAATTGCATGGTCCGGATATAATATCAACAACTGTTCTGAATGATTTCGCAGATTAACTGGACTCCTCGCTCTCCGAGATCGTCAAAAGTCCGACAGCGAACTGAACTCTCCCTACCGACAGGAATCTAACCAAAATAACTCATCTGAAAAGGAAACAGATGTAATGGTTGGGAGAAAATTTTATTCGCCTGACTTTTCGAATCCTGTCGCGGATCCAGCATCAGAGACAATAGAAGAAACGGGTAATTCACTTTTAGGCAGTTGCAGTATTTATTGGATCCAATTGCTATGCAAACCATATAATATAAAAAGTAACGGCTCCCCTACTAAAGATAGTTGCCCGCTTTTGTGCTCAGTGGTCGATCAGTGGCTTGCACGTCGGCACCTTCTGAACTTTCATTACCCCTGTTGCTTTGGGCCTGATGATCGTTCGGCCATTTGATTCTCTAGCACAGGTACTAGATGGTGGGTTCACTTGTGTGGTCTCCAAATGGCGAATTGCCTTGGCCAAATTGAACCTCAGCACTGAGTATGGGCTGCGTAGGTCGTTGCACTTGGCAACAGACTGGGGCCCATGAACCATTGTAGCGTCTGCGCCAAGCCCACAAACCGTCACGTGATTGCACGAAACCCACGATTGTCTCCTCACGCGTGAATTTCGGCCTCTTCGAATTAGAGTTTGGAGCGCAGTCTCGTAATAATTGCCCCAAATAGTGACCCCGTTTTGTAAGTCACGCTTTCCGCTCATGCCGCCGTGGAGGCCACATGACTGGCTCTCGTGTCCACCAGCGCGTGCGCACCAGAGGGCGTCAGAACCTTCGTTTAAGGTCTCCCTCTGTCTCTCTTAACTTGAAAATTTCGTTTCATGTCCGGTCCACAAAGGACCTTATTGTGGGGATTGCTTACGAACAGATGCTCCCGGGACCGGCGACGTCGTATCCCACAAGTTCATGCAAACACAATTAGAATAGGCCATTCGAGTTTGCAGCTTGTG